AATCATGCGCGTTAAACTTTCAGCATCAAAGTATCATACTTACATTAGTCTATTATTGAGCTTTTCACAGCAATCTTTAAGCCAGGATATTCTAGCGGTTAGCGGGCCCCTTTTGAGACCAGGAAGATCAATGGTTTGAAAGTTTTGAAACCACTGAAAAAAAAACCAACCCGAGAAAATATATTCCTTATTTTCTTCAAAAGTCGGAACAATAAGCTATTGTTAGTCTAAATGCTCCTGCTTAGCTCGAATTTGTTAGGCACAAGCTTTCTACTGAAAAAAGAACAGAACTGCTTATTCAAATATGGGTTTTCTAACTCGAATCCAATACATTTAAAAAACTAATCATGCTTTTTATGTACTTTCACATCGTTTTTAGTTGACTTCCGACCATTTAAAAATGCTTTTTTAAACGATAGAGATAAAAAATATATCAAATTGAAAAAACCGTTTCTACAATTGTTTTTTTTTGGGTTGTACGCAGTTGCTTCGATATGCCTAGGTTGCGCTCAAAACCTCAAACTATCTTTTCCGATCTCGCAAAGCTCGTCTTAATTATTTTGGGTGGCGCAAAGATACACAAAAATTTCTGTCGTGCAAAATTGCAGTCCAAGTGCTTGGGTCGCACAAAGCTGCGCCGAACTGTTGGGTTTGCCAATGAATCATTTTCAACTGTCCTGTGTTGTTACTATTTTCCGTACTTAACTTATAATTTTTTTTGGAGGTCAAAATTGAAAATTCAGCCCTACAAACAGAATCAATTAGAGATAGAATAGATAAGCCGTACAAAATCAAAGACGTTAAAAAATCAAAGAATTTAAAAAAAAAACGAATAAACATCAAGGAAATTGTTATAAGTTCACCCTGAAGTAAACCAGGGACTGATAGGTTACCTGGTCTCTTGCAATGATTTGTCACAAATGAGTTTTTCCAAAAAAAACTGTTTTTTGCACGCCTCAAGATTGTAATGTAACAGAACTTGTTAGGCACAAGCTTTCTACTGAAAAAAGAACAGAACTGCTTATTCAAAAATGGGTTTTCTAACTCGAATCCAATACATTAAAAAAACTAATCATGCTTCTTATGTACTTTCACATCGTTTTTAGTTGACTTCCGACTCCCTGCATTAAAAAATGTTTTTTTAAACGATAGAGATAAAAAATATATCAAATTGAAAAAACCGTTTCTACAATTGTTTTTTTCTGGGTTGCACGCAGTTGCTTCGATATGTCTAGGTTGCGCTCAAAACCTCAAACTATCTTTTCCGATCTCGCAAAGCTCGTCTTAATTATTTTGGGTGGCGCAAAGATACACAAAAATTTCTGTCGTGCAAAAGTCCAAGTGCTTGGGTCGCACAAAGCTGCGCCGAACTGTTGGGTTTGCCAATGAATCATTTTCAACTGTCCTGTGTTGTTACTATTTTCCGTACTTAACTTATAATTTTTTTTGGAGGGCAAAATTGAAAATTCAGCCCTACAAACAGAATCAATTAGAGATATAATAGATATATTTCGAGAACAGTCATAGAATATAAATACGATAAAAAATATTTTGCGATAAGATACGCAGATTTGATGAATATGAAACATGATGCAGGAGTTGAACAGTTTAAACTACAGAGAAAAGATGGGACAGCTGTGACTAGAATCAAACGGTAGCACGAAATATTACCCTATTCCTTTTTATCCTCTACCAAATTGCCCTATACCATTTTAATTTACGTGCCAACTTTCCTGTGCCATTTTATTTGATGTTCCAACTTGGCCTATGCCATTTTTTGCTCTTTTCTAACTTACCCTATGATGCATTAATTCCTTTCGATGTACTAAATGCATACCGAAACAGTTGTTTTAAAGCTGCAAGTGTTTTTCATTTAAGGACAGCTTTTAGGACACAATTGAGTCGCAAATTCAAGCTAATTGTTGTGAAGAAAATTTGACTGAAAATTGTATTTAAACTTAAATAACTTAATTTAATCCAAAATTGTAATAAATAAGGGTAGAATGAATGCAAAAACAGTTCAATTCTGTGTATTTTTTTTTCAAAATTGCAAAACAAACTCTTCTAATTGATGACCATGAAAATAGCAAAAAAGCAAGAGGCAAAAAAAAGGAAACTAACACTGGAAATGTTCAGTATGGCACTCCCACAAATCCAAGGTGACAGCTGTCACATTTTGCGATGATCTGTTTATCTCAAGCAAGGATCACAGCCACGAAGTCTTCTCTGGTCGATCAGACGCATGAACTTTTATTCAGAAAGGAAACAAGATACTGAAATTCAGCAAGTTCCTGTTCACATCAGTATAATTGCAGCAAACATTGCAAGTAGATTCAATAAAAAATATTTCATTTTTTACTTTTATTCTCTTGCTTAATTGACAAATTTTAAATGTCTATTTAAGAACTTTGTTGAACTTTCAAAATTTCAATTGATTTTTTTTAAATATACTTTTTTTGAGGTTCCCGTCTCGGTGAGTTGATCTTTCAAACATTTGATTTCAAAATACATGCAACATCCGCTAAGCTAAATCGTTTTGGTGAGATATGAATTTTTGCTCAATCAAGAAACAGATGCAACGCGTTGCAATTGCGTATTCGTCAAATTAATTTTTGCTCATTCATGCTTTGATCACATTCTATTTCTGAACAAATTTATTGGAATAGGGTAAATGAACCCATTCAAACTTATGCAATCATATGGTATTTAAAGTGCCGACGATTTAACTAGTTTCAAACAGAAATTAGTTCAAAAAAAATTACTAGAAAACCAACAATTTGTAGGTTAAAATTTTTTATCATATTTTGAGTTTTTGAAATTTTTGTTTTCTCAAAATGGCACTAGAAATCCTAAAATTTAATTTCTTTTTAGTAATGAGACCAATTAGCCTGCCTAAATTGAATTGGGAACAATTTTGTGGTGCGGGATAATTTATCATGCGTAAATCATGCGCGTTAAACTTTCAGCATCAAAGTATCATACTTACATTAGTCTATTATTGAGCTTTTCACAGCAATCTTTAAGCCAGGATATTCTAGCGGTTAGCGGGCCCCTTTTGAGACCAGGAAGATCAATGGTTTGAAATTTTTGAAACCACTGAAAAAAAAACCAACCCGAGAAAATATATTCCTTATTTTCTTCAAAAGTCGGAACAATAAGCTATTGTTAGTCTAAATGCTCCTGCTTAGCTCGAATTTAGAAAAAAAAATTTAAATTTTACAATGAGTTTTTCTCGACAATGTGAAAAGTTTACGAAATTTTTAAAATTCGTTCAATCACGACTAAAGGGCTGTAGTATGATATATCACTGAACCCAGTCCGATGATTATTTGGGGTGAAGCAACATTACCCAGCCCAGAAAAATAACCAAAAAAATTGCATGTAGTTCTTAAAAAGGGGCACAACAGCTGTTCGCCGTGATGAGCTGTACAGCTCTTGTGTTGGTCCTTTCCCCCGTGGATAAATAGTGTTAATAATCAAAATACAAAACAGTCACAAATTTCAGTTAATAACCTGATTTTGCCCGGAAAACAAACAAAAAAAGAAAAATAAAATTAAATCTCACCCGAATAAAAAGTTTTTTCCCGTTTTTCAAATTGTTGGGAAAAAAAGTTTATGACTAGCTTTTTCGGTGAGTGGTGGCCAACACGGGACCGCAACGCTTTCACGGATGCAATGCAGCGACCTCAACGAAGTCCAAGGGACAATCTTGATTGTTTTAATGTCGCGGCTCAATGTCACAAATGTAGATCCTGAAATACATTTGAGTTCGATCATTTGGATCATCATTTTATAAACAGACAGTCAAGACATTAGCTAATCTGCCAGGCATTTAGCAATCTTGCGCTAAACCGTGGCCAATTTTCTGTGGAACCGAGCGACCTCCATGCTTTACATCAATTTTGCATAAAAATCGAATCGAATGATAGAACGTTTATTCTCAGAATTGATTCAATAGTATTATGAACTGTTTTTTTAAAATTTATCTAACTTTTTATTGTGCTTAGGTTAAATTTTTACAGTTACTATACTGGTATTGTTCATTCATGGCTGCATCAATGATTTTCTTTATTATGCTGTTTTTAAATTTTCTTTAGGGTCAGATGCTTGTCACAGTTCACCTTCATTTGATTTTATTTTAATCAATTCGCTTTTAAGTATTTTGCGTGATTTTTCTTTCTTTAAATTGTATTAACCAGATAATGTCCTAAAAGTGTTTTTAATACAAAATAGGGATATTGTTATGAAGATTAAATCGGCAATGAAAATAAAATTGGCAAAGAAAGGCGTTAATTGCTAGGTAGGTCCCAAAATGGGGAGGTTTCTCATGCTTGAAGGACCGAATGCTTGAAAAATTTCAACCAATCAAAACCGCTAAGCGTTTCTATTGGCTAAAATGCCTTTCTCACAAAATTTTACTTTGAGATTTACTTTGAGATTTTGAATACTCAATTCTTATTGGCTGAAAGTAAGCTAAAATTAAATTCAAGCATTCGGTCCTTCAAGCATGAGGGACGCCACCCCCAGAATAGTAATTAGGGATATCTGCGGACTCCTCTGGTGACTAATATACATTATGTTTTATGTCTGTTGTAAATGAACACTGCCTAACTTAATTCACGAAGAGATCATTCACTTGGTTAACTTTTTTTCTATCAGATTTCAAGTTTTTACATGTTAACTAACTGTTAAAATTTGTCGTTAACTTTGTAGTGGGGAGATTGTTCACTTGATCCATTAAGGGGTGAGTTGTTCACATGCCTTAAGATTATCAGAGACTAAGCTGGTTTATAATTTTGATTGATAGACTTCGAATCAGCAAATCAATTTCTTATTACGGTCCAACGCTTTATTTTACTACACCTTCTATTGCTTAATGTTGCTTTAAGTATTTTGAGTGAAATCAGTGGTTTTAAGAATCAGAATCACAGCTCGTGTTGGGGAAAACCGTTGTTGACTCACATGCAATCATTGCTCGTAATAAATTGAAGAAAAGACTCTAAATTCTCAAATAAAAAGTTTGATGTTTATCAAAAAAAAATTTGTCCTCGTGAAGTTTTAAATTTCTGTAGCTTCAAAAATCATCAATTTCAATTTCTTCAACGAAAATTTCAGTGCAGGGGCGGATATAGGATTTTCTCTAGGGGGGGGGGGGGGTGTTGCGGATCTAGGATTTTCTTGAGGGGGGCGGATCAAAAAATTTTCGAAAACTTAATCGAATTTTTTTAGGTCAACCAAACTGATTTTCCGAGCTTTTCGAAAGCACTAAAAAGAACCTTTTTTAACGAAATTTTCTGTGCCGCAGACAAACCTTTGAAAAAAGAGGCCAATATAAGCGTTTTTTTGCACTTTTTGGAAAATTTTGTCGCGCGCTGCCCCTCAAAATTAGTATATATTGGCGCCGAAGGCGTTCTTAGAACATTTTTAGGTTTCGTCGCCAAAATGGATTTCTCAAAATAGCACAAAGGGGTCGAATGCCTGATTAAATGGCAACCGCCCCTCCTCCCCCCCCCCCCCCCCCCTTCCCCCCCCCTTAAATCCGCCCCTATTTTAGTGCGAATGTCTTTTTGCCCCATTGATGCAAACTATTTTGACAATTTTTGATGATTTTTGAACAACCATCATTTTGAATACTTATGAAGGGAAAAAACCTACATCAAAATTTCAATTGAGTTAGAGAAACCACATGTAATAGGCCTTTCACGCCCATTTGAAAAGCTGTAATAACGCATTTTTTTCTTTAAAAGTAATCATCCCTTTTTGTGCTACAAAAATACTCTTAATTGTGAAAAACCATCACGGTCGCTTTTAAGAGCACTTCTAATTCATTTACTTGACAAGAGTTCGTGTTTTGTGCGATTTTAGATGGTCGTATTATTTTTATACGTAACTTGGTAAATAATACCAGCTTCATTTTAAATCAAATTCACAGCGAAGTGTTTTCAGTTGACATAATCGGTTGTGGCATTTTTATCGGGATCTTCAGCAAGAGAGAAATATGGCTGCCCCGGGCGAAGATGAGCTAAAGATGCCTTTTGTGGTGGTGCGCTTTGGAGGTAAGATTAGAAAACTACAAAAAAAATTGTTTCCAGACATATTTTCAGACATATAATTAGAGAATTTTATTTACTGCGTCGCAGTCTGATTATGCTGTTCATTTGACCATTTTTTGAAAACTGTTTCAAACTAATAATGCAGTTCCTAACATTTCGATTTTGTGACATATCCTCAAAAACAGGGGATACTTTGAAAATTTTTTAAATTTTTCAAGGTGGTCCGAACTTTCTGTGCAACTAACACAGCAACCGTTTATTCTCAATAAAATTATCAATTTGGTTTTAAATTTTTTCACTAAAAAACTTAATGAAGAAAAATGTTGGTATTTGAGTTTCACTTTTTCGTTCCGATCAAAGAAAAAAATTTTAAATTGCACGCTCATTTTTTTTGGTTTCTTTCCAATTTATGATGTGTATAACGATAAGAAAATGATAAATTTTTGTAACAAGATGGGCTCGGCATGGGGGGTTTCAGATGGAAAAAGCCCTTTATTGGTTTGTCTTTTTGTTTGTTTGTTTGTTTTTGTGTTTGTGTTTAGACAACAAAGAGCTGATGGCCAACACTGACTGCATGGTGTGCAATTTGGTGGATTATCTGAAAATACACACAGAAAACTACGAGTGTGAGTATAGATGGAGACACTAGATACAAATCCCCGCCCTTTTATTTGATTAATTCAACAGCATAGCGTAAACAAAACCCCCTTTGGACTGGTAGGAAGACTTCGTTTTGTATTTTTGAAATAAATACAAAACCAAGCAAAAACAACTCCCCTTTGAAGTTGGTTTTGAGTTTTTTTATATAAGATTTCGGTTTTTTGATTTGCTTTGAATTAGAATAAAACATCAGAAAAATGAAAAAATAAAAAGATTTTTCAATCAAAATATTAGAGCAATAAAAAAGATCTAGTGGGTGCCAAGGATCTCCGGTTCCCGAGGGTAGAGCGTGTCACTCTATCCGCTACTAATACAAGTACCAAGTACCATACGAGTGCTCTTCGTATGTTTTTTGACAGTTGAATTGGACTTGGCGAGTGAACAGGGGGAGCTTCGGGGCATCAGTCAGGAGGGGAGGTACTTCGAACAGGCCGCCCAGTTCCTGCAGGACAGAGAATCACTTGTCTTAGTCAGGGTCGAAAGTGAGTCCCAGTCACTCCCCCCTCTCGTCTGAACTGCTTTTAATATACTCTTTCAAATTGTGGTAGTTTTCTATATTGTTTGCGCAGTTTTCTGTGTTTTCGAGAACTCTTAAGCAATTTTAACTTAGGCATTTTTTCTATTTTTGACTTAAAATAATCGTTTTTGGTTCAATTTTGAAACTCAAGTTTTGCCTTGTATCATTGTTGCCGATAGATTAGGATGACGGTAAGAACGCTGACTCAATTTGCCTTTTAGCGCGTTAGGTTTTGTTTCCTTTTAAGGAATGGGTGAGCAGATGAAGAATAAAGTGAGGTATCTTCCACTCTTGAATGACTCTTTGATCATCAACGCCGCATTCCTCAGTGAGTTTGAACCCTATACTTTAACCCCATAGTGACGTACACAAAATGTGTTCAGAAAGTTGAGGGGGCGTTGTTTTCAGTTTTTGTTTTCAGCCTAATGGTCAATCTACTCGTTTGCTCAAGGTTTGAACGAGTATATTAAAATTAGGTAACTTTCGGTCAATCTTTAAACAACTTTGGTTACACCTGTATACAAAAAAGATTACCCGAAAAAACCAGGAAGCCATAGACCTATTAAATCTTGGGGCAATGTCATAAGTTTTTGAAATACTTTTATATAAGCAAATGAAAGAGTACCTCCTGAAGGATGATCCTTTAAGTAAGCAACAATCTGGTTTCCGAGCAGCATATTCAACCATAGATGCCATAGATGCACTATTATACTGTTCTGAATCATTTCGAAAATCAATTCATAATAACAAAATTGTTGATGCCGCCCTTTTTGATCTCTCAAAGGTATTTGACTCCATCAACCACAATTTTCTACAACTAAAAATTGAAAACATAAGTTTTTTCAAAAGGTTCCACTGATCTGATTGAAAATTTTGTGAGCAATACACAGCAAAAAACCGTACTTAATAATAGCAAATCATATTGGATTAATCTATTTCAAGACGGTCCGCAATTTATAATCCTTAGACTACTCATTTTTAACTTATACACAACTGATCTGAACCAAAAATTACCAAAATATAGCAGAGTCGTTCAATACGCGAATGATACAATGCTCTTTGTTGATAACCAAAATGCCGAAATAGCTATCAGTCAACTTGAAATCAACAATCAACTAGTTTTTAAATTCAAACTTTTTTCCTAACAAATTGCGTCGAAAAAATCATACTCCTCAAAAAAAACAGAATTGTTTCAGAAAAATGAAATTAAAAATACTCAGAAGTCAGAATAGTTTTTGAAATTTTTTTCAATATCGTATTTCTAAAACAATCATGTTTTTGTTTATCTGAGGATTAAGGTTTTTTCGACGCAATTTGTTTGTATAAAAGTTTTTTTTTATGACCTTTAATTTTCTTTATAGGGCAGCCGGAACTTTGAAAGATTCACAGCGACACTCTCAATTTTAATTGCTTACCTCATAGCATTTGAATTTTTACTTAACATTTAAAAAACAACCCAGAAAAAAAAGAATAACAAATTTAATTTGCAGGTTGTCTCCTGTAAAAGCAAAACAAAAAAAGAATCCCTTGATCTAAACAAATGAAAAATTACTGCTTTTCTGAAAAATTTATAGTGTCTCTGCAAAATAATATCACCACATGGTCATCATGTGGCCTTTTATGCATTTTACTAAATATTGATAATAACAAAATGGCACTTTTATTTTCTTAGTTTGAAGTTGTGTAGAGAGTTACTGCATGCAACATGCAACTCTTGTTTCTAAAATAAACGAATAAAATTGAAAACAATAGCTTAAATCAATTTTACCTACACCAAGAAAAATGTTCCGATTGAAAATGTTTTTTCAATTGTTTCCGATTTTTTTTAGCAGCAGCAGTCCGGTATTTATGCTTGTTTTCCACCAGGAGCGGATCTAGGTTTTTCTCGAGGGGGGCGGATCTTTTTTTTAGGTCAACCAAATTGATTTTCCGAGCTGTCCTAAAGCACTAAAAAGACTGTTTTGGCCAAAGTTTCTGCGCGGCAGGCAAATTTTTGAAAAACAGGTCAGAAAAGCCGTTTTAGGGCACTTTTTGCAAAATTTTGACAAAAAACGCGTTTTTTGGCGCACGCTCCACCTCAAAAAATAGTTAAAAAAATAGTATATTGGCGCCTAAGGCGCCTTTAGAAAAATTTTTGGGTCGGTCGGCCAAAATGGGTTTCTTAAAAAGTACCAAACGATAACCCTTTGGGTCGGCAGGGGGTCGAATCCCTGAGAGAAGGAAGCGTCAGCCCCCCCCCCCCTAAATCCGCCCCAGTTTTCCATTAATAATAATAAAAGTAGTGTGATTTTAAAACAAAGCGTTTTTAATTTCCTGTTTATTTTGTTGAAGCAAATTTGGCCAAACAAGGACCTGACAGTCGGAAGAATTACAGGGCGGGCAAGTACCATCTGCCCTTGGAGGGTGGGAAGGAGAGGGATTCGAGTAAGGAGAACGACAAGCAGAGAAAGACACCCAAAAGCAGGGAGAGACAGACCAGGAATAACTGAACGGGGGGGGGGCAGATCTAGTTAACTATCCCCCCTTGTCTCCTGTTGCTTAATCGCATCTCTAAATATTTTTTTATCTATTGTTACAAGAGATTCGTTACAGGGTACAAAATTCACGGATGCTTACCCGTTAGAATAGTTCCTTAAATGAGCGGCAATTATTTATTATAAGATTCCATAGGGGGAATGGGGGATAATTAACCACGAAAATTGAAATTCTAGTGTTTTTATTGCGTGCTCTTACTAATACCGTAGATTTCAGAGTTATATTTAGTTTAATTTAATACACTTAGCATGAAAGTTTACGTGAAGTTGTTTCTTCTAACTTTTTCATGATGTGCCGTCTCGATTGCGAAACTTGAGGGCGTTCAGCAAAGCCGATGTGCAACAGTGCCGAAACTGAAAATATGATCAACTAAGCTGAAATATGAAGGATATTTGAAAAATGTAAGTTCTGTTTGCAAATTATTCGCAATTTGCTTGAATTCGTGTCTTGTTTTGGAGCAAAACCGAGAAGAAAAATTGACGTTGCTGAGTTATAATTGTTTCTTCAGAAAAATTTATGACGCCGCAATTGGTAAATTTTGTTGTTGACTTGGGGTGGTTTTTTTATTCAGACCAATTCGCAAAATTCTTCCCCTCGTGTATCGCTACTTGCATCTTCGTGGCCCCAGATGGTTGCGCTCATCACTAGACAACCCTGACTTATAATATGCCGAAAAACTCTCAACAATAGACTAACGTGACTACAGCGCTAGGATACTTTAATGCTGCAAATTTAAAGCGCGTTTTTTACGCGTGCTGAATTATCCCCCAACGCAAATTTGTTCCAATTCAATTGACGCAGGCTACTTGATCTTATTATTAATTCCATCCACGATTCTTAATATTCAGCTTAAAATAAATAGTTTGTCAATATTTCATTAGCCAAAAAACATTCGTGACCATTTATGGACAGTCGGAGCACTCAGGGGTTTGCCGTACTTGATACGAGTAGTCTTGCTTGTTTAACATGCGGCATCAAACAAAATGGCTTTTTTTGACTTTTCAACAAAGTAAACAGGAAATACTACCTTTTTCTACGTTTAACTAGCGACTTTCTGGACCGTGGTGGAACTCAAAATCATCGGCGTGACTACAGAAATTTGATCGCGCCATCTAATTTGTGCGATCGAATTTAATCGATATTCAAATTGTGGCCCGTACCAAACCGAGGCTGTTTTGTTAGATACAAAACGTATATAGATCATCTAGCCAAAATTTCTCGTATTTTAGCCCAGTCAAAAGGCTGTTTTTTTAGATAGAAAACGTATATAGATTATCTAGCCAAGTTTTTTCGTATTTTAACGCAGTCAAAAGATACCCACTTGTGTTCGATAAAGTCGAAACATCAGTTGAGCACTGCTAATTGTTTTTTTTCGGAGAGCTCATTTAAGCTTCAGTTTAATAATTGAGCAAAAGAGCATCCAAAAATGCACAAATTTTTTTTCTCAGCAAGAATCAAATGAAAAGATTTGTATACAGCAAAAAAGGTTCAGGTGGACTTCTTCCAAATTTTTAATTACAAGTGATCCGACGATAACAAAAAAGTGAAATTGCCCCAATTTTTTTAAATGATAGTTTGCTTGCACATTGAAAGTTGAACGAGTTTTTACTTGAAGTTGAATGGTTTTAAAAGGCAGACTACAGAGCTGATTTGAATTATCTGAGCAAAACGAATAAAATAAGAAAAATTAAACGAATTTTTCTCAAATTGAGTTGGTTTTAGACTACAAAAATTTCTTAGATTTTTAGCAAAATTAAAATCTATTTTGCAGTTCGGTCCCAAAATTGAAATTACGCAGAACTACGCGATAAGTAAGTAATACAATTGTAATAGAGGGGTCTTGTTTTGAAGTTCAACAAATTTCAAACAGGTTTCATTAAATGAACCTCAATAAGCTCAATGAAAATTTAATCCCCAGAAACTTGTTCAAAACGTTTAAAAATTGTTTTTGTTTGAAAATTGGTTTTGTATATCACGCAAAAGTAAATTTATTTATAGAGTTTTGAGAAAATTATAGCCTTCTTAAATTTTGTTTGGCTACATAAAAGGCCTATTTTGCTATACTTTGCAAGCAAGTGAGCTGCTAGCTTTTGTGCAACTTTTGAATGACTGCAAAAACTGATCAATTTTTGGATATTGTTTTTGGCACGCTTTTTACAGAATAAATTGCACCATAATATTTTTGCTAAAATTCAACAGTCAACACAATGTGAAAAACTCTAGTTTAGCTGCAAAATTTATTCTTTTTAATTTTTTTCAGCAAACCGTTACTCTTTTCACTGTGAAAACCCGTAAATAAAACTCGCAACAACTGAAAATGAGCGAATAAGTTAAAATGATCAAAGATATCATGTTTTGGTTCTCTTGTTATTGACAAACAACCAATAAGTTAGCTCGAAAGTGACTTAAGCTAATAGTCAAAAAAATTCGAAGCGAAGTTAAATTCAAATTTTACAAATTTATTTATTTTCATAAATTTACGAAACTATATCACTGCTATCTATAAATTAACAAATTAAAATGAATATTCATTAGTTGGAAAAGTGTAAAACAGCGCTTGGAAATCCATATTCATAGATTGCTAGTCGTAGAGCTTTTGCTATGCGAAAACTCAATTCCAAGAAATTCTTAAGCCCACCTAGGCAAATAATTTGATTTTTACCAAAATTATTCAATTTTAATAACTAATCAAAGTTCATTTTCGACAAAATTTTCAATCTTTGATTATACATGGATCAGCTAGCTATCTATAGCGACATATGGCGAATGCAATTTACGAACGACCGAGTTTAACTTATATCTTTGACGACACTGTTCGACGATTTAACGGTGGACAAATTGGCACAGCTTAAGGCCAAAGTAGTGGTATAGTAAAAGAGTGGTGATATGGTTAGAAGTACCCATTCATAAGTGTGAACGAGGTGTGAAGGAACTATCGAGCCACGAACGGGTGTCGCGAGGAGAGAGAAAGAGAGGAAGAAGAATTTGATTGGATAACGATGATTCTGATGAAAACAGCAGCAAATGCTGTTGTCGTAAGTTGAGGTCCGATTTGTCGGGTTTGAGTATAGATCTGCAAGTCAGAATCCGAAGCTTTTGCTATTTTTGTTGCATTTCTTTTGCGCTGATAACAATTGGGCTAAAACAAAACATACATGCATCCGTAGTTTAAGTAAATTAAAACATAGTTTTGTTTTAACTAATTAGAAAAGTTCGGGAAAAATCATAGAAATTGTCAAAATGGAACCTGATCTAAACTATATTTTATGATTGGATAAATTAAATGTTTTACCAATGTAAAGTATTTAATATTAACCAATCATGATCCATCTAACTAACAACCCACTTATTTGTAAGTGCTGAAGTTACTTGTAATTTCAGCACCAGAGAGATTTGAATTTAACTTAGAAATTAGTTGGACTCTCCCGAGCACTTCAGCAGCCGCAATAAACCAGTATACCCTAGATCTATTGAGCCTAGCAGAGACTAGTTAAACAACCTGAGACTAGATAGTATAAGAGTAAGATTAGGATCGGTATTAGACTAAGAAGTTGCACGAATCTATCCGGCCGAAAATAAGATAGCGTGACGAGCAGACGGTGTACCCTATCCGAAATTACTCTATGAGTTACACTCCAGTCCTAACTCATCTGGTGCGACCATAAGTCTCGAACAAGACCTTATTAGATTAGAATTAACCAAAATTAGATTAGAAATTAGACAAAAACATTTACAAAATGTTATACGACAATAATTTAATTGAAATGTCTCTCCGACTCAATAGATCCGAGCCAATATTCCGAACCATAATAGAACTACCCGGAATTGGAAGAAGACATCGAACCAAAGACGACATACGACAAAGTAGAAACTTGCCGTATAGTTACATGATAGTTCGGCAAAAGCCAGAACAAACTTTTATATTTCGAATACTACTTGCAATGAATTTAGATTTCCATTTGCAAACATAAAACCTTGAAGTAAATCTTCAAAATCATTTCAGGCGCTAAACAAAATTAATATTATACAATAACGATTGATAAAAAGATCTAAGATCGTTTTCCTAAAATTCTGCAGTATTATACAAAACATGTTTGAAAAATATTTATTGGAAAATAAAAATAAAAATTAGTAGCATGACAATAAATGGTTAGTAATCATAAATCATCCTGTTGTTCCAGCTTCATCACCTAAAACATAACAGCAATCATCAACTCACTAATATCATAAAATACTAAATCTTTCCTTTACACAAATTTAAAACCTCATTAAAACTTAAAGTCACTTAATTTTAAAACCAGATCATCAAGGCTTATCCTTGGATCTTAAATCATTTTCTACTTCATTACATTTTAAATTTGATCATCAAGGCTTATCCTTGGATCAAACAGAACAACTTTGTTCTCCCCCACCCACTTAATTAGTGTCTAACGACCTCAAACGTCGATTCACTACCCAACCCTTTCTAAAGACCCAAGACTAATAGAAATTTTTAAACAAAACTAATCATTCAAATTAGGATAAACAGTGAAGAACTTCGGTTATTCATCCTTCACTTGATCCCCCCTCTTACCAGACCCAGGATAAATCTTAGACTTAGTAAGTTTAAAATAGTATCTAACGAACTACTCGCGTTCTAATTATACCTGAACCTTGTGGATCGATTTACTATTCTCCAACCCTTGAACACAATCACTACCCCTAAGTAAGATTAAGTAAGTTAACACCTTAGCTTATACTAGTCACGAGAAAGTAAAAATCATTCTTCGGAATCGATATACTTTTCTCTCCAACCCTAAACAAATAGACCCAGGTTAAGCTAACCAAAAAATCGTAAGAACTAACAGTTTAGGAAAATAGAAATCATTTAACAACCTTTTGCACCCGTCATCCTAAACCTTATGTCATTTAAAAACCTAGGGAATAAACAAACAATCGTTTTACACAATTGTGAAATAGATAACAAAAAATACGACCTTGTAATCACACCTCATACACAAACAGTTGGATACATTCGAACAAAACGACAAACACTAAAGAGAAAAATAATCACTAAACAAAGACAAATAACACGAAAAAGATTTTCAAAAAATCGAAACGCATTTTCAGAATCAGAAACCAACAGTTTAGACGAACTCTACAAACTAAAAGAATCAATAGATAAAAATTACCCACAACACGATCAATTATATTTTTCTGACTCAGAAACAACTTCAAATTCATCACAAAGAGGAAAAAGAAGAATAAAAAAGCAGTATAAACACAAACCAGTACATCTATACAACTGGAATCAACCAATTCGACACATTAATAATTACATATTAACAGTCATCGAACGAAAAAATGAGTTCAACGCACACCCCAGGTGACGAAACTCCAGATGATGATGAAATCTTTCCTTTTATAGTAGATGCAGATACTGATAGAGGACAACACATATTTTGTCAAAATTTACTCGTAAATTTATTTGAACCCGGAATCAGTCCATGTAAAACAGAGTTCCCCGATGTAAAAATCAAAAGACAAATCATAGATCACTATCTAAAAGATATATGCAACATAACACAACAATATGGAATCTACTCTATAGAATTCACTTCCCCAAACCATAATAATAGAACATACACTATTCAAACAGACGACCTTGATTTAGAATTTTCAAAAGTTTTTTCAGAATATATAAAAAGCATACAATACCATAACTCACAAAGAGCAAACTCCATTTTCACCAATGAAGTTTTCGCACTAATATATAGTTATATTTCGATATTAGAAAATGAACTCCCATTAACAAATGTCTCACCGACAGAAACATCTAAACATTTAAGAGTACGACATGAAATCACACTACTCTCTAGTTATTTAAACATCATTAAAGAAAATTTCACGAAAGACGACGTTTCACAACATACCAAACACGATTTACAAAAAATTTTAGCATGGTTCATAATAGATTATTTTACACACAATATTGATTTAATTGCACAAGCAAGAAAAAATTTTAGACCCCAAAACTCGAACGATGATACAGCTATCACAGAACAATCAGATTATGTTTGGGACCCCGAATGGTCTCATCCCGTATTTATAAACTTTCCACAATCAATCTCAAGTCAAGCAATAGGTACAATATCTTACATAAGAGATTATGTAAGAGTAATACCATTAACAATTGATGCAACACCATTAAACTATAATACATTTTTACCCGATACACAAAATAATAGTTTAAACTCTACAGTCATACACAATGAAAACCTCAATGGAACTAGGAATCTTACTCAACAAGATATACAGACACCATCACACTTCATAAATGAAGAAATTGTACACACAACAACTACACAACAAAGTATTTCACCAATACGCCCAAATTTAACAACACCAAGAAATACAAATCCTTCACAAACACAGGTAACCTTACAATCAACCGTTAAACCTTCGGTTGCCCCTAAATATTCACATATGGATTACCAAACATACAAACCCATGACAATACCATCAAAAACACGCAAAACATTCACTAGAAACAACTTTGCAGACCATAATTATAATTATACACATCCATCAAAAACAAATTATAAACCACAAAGAAATTTTAATCAATATACAAAACCTCGAAACTGGGATAACCCAACGGCCCAATATAATTCCACAAATTTTCAACCAAATCCTCCACAGGATCGCAGTGAAAATTACCCATTTTTTCAACAAAATAAAAATAAAAAACAAACATCTTATCAAATGGATTATTTATCCTCAGATGAAGATTTCTTACAACCAGATATATTTGCACCAAATACTCAAGAATATCGTAGACAAGGAATACAGAAAACACGTACAAACCATAGAAATTTTTCTCCACAATCAATAGATGCACAATATCAACAACCAATTCAACAACCAAATCCAATTAATATACAATCTTTTCAACCAATTCAACAACAAAATCCAATGACTACACACTCGTATCAACCATCACAAATGCAAAATGAAATACCACTCCCGTATTATCTTCAACAACATGAAATAACAAGAAACCAACTTTCAAATTTTTCTCAAATGCCAAATGCAGCTGAATCATTACAAATGACAATGAATCCATACCTTATGGGTGGATCATCAATAACATCAAATAAACCCTTAATGGTTTTCACAGGAACAGACCCTGAATACTCTGTAGAAGATTACTTAAATGCAGTAACAGCAAATTTAATTTTAAATATTGGACCTGAACCAATTAACACGCCACTACATCAAAACTGGATACATCGACGCACAGCGTTGATACAAACAACCTTAGATGGCGCAGCCCAAAAATGGTTTTCAGTACTACCTCAAGAAATAAAATCAAACTGGAAAAGATTTACACAAGAATTTTCAAAAATGTTTGACTCCGAAAGAAACAAACAACAACAAAGAGTTTTATGTAATGAAATTCGCAGATTACCAAACGAAACCATCAAGCAAATAGCAGTAAGAATCGAAACACTAGTTCGAAAAGCATATTCACTAAATACACATGACTATAAAAACACTAAGATGACAGAAATCTTAATGATGACCTTAACACCACAATTAAGGAAAATAGCAATAAAAAAGAGAGCATCACATCCTTCTTCAATTCGAGAACCCGATTTAGATTTTAGAAAACTAGTAGACAAACTAGAACAAGCAGAAATCACAATGAAATTAGAAGAAACGGAAAATCTGAAATTACAATACGTTAACAAAATTGAAACGACTCCCACTAATATTAATAATATACAAGAATCAGAAACAGATCTCGTTGAAAAAATCACTGAAATACTCAATATTTACGAAAAGAACCCGAACTTTAAAGGCAAACCATCTTTCAAAAAATGGTGTAATTATTGCCGACGATACGGACATAGTATTTCCGAATGTAGACAAAAACAACAAGATAGTCAAAATAAACCTCAAAAATACAAAGAACCAAATAAATCATTTTATCAATACATGAAAAAAGATCAAAACCTACCAAACAAAGATGTATACAGCAACAACAGTTCAGGAAAACCACTCCCAAACAATACAAGCTATACAAGAAATCAATCTCCATATAACTCAAGTTATAGAGGAAGATCACCAGAACGAAGAAACACGTATAATTCATCA